ATAGGTTCAACATTTCAACGGTCGGGGTACAGGGGAATGAGGGGACTTAAACTAAGGAGACATAAAGAAGACAAAAGAAAGAGGCAGACTTTGTTTGGATTTGCTATTTCTGGTACTTCCTGCCCTAGATAGAAAACATTAAGCTAGAAGATAGGCGGTGAGATGGGGTGGGATGGGGATACTCTCAAAGGGAGTAACTGTGCTCATTTTGGAAAGCATCCAGGACTTGTCCCTGGGTCCCCATGAAAAAAAGGCACTCCTTCCTGCCAGGTGTGAGAGAAACTCTGCCTATATTTCCTCACAGAAATAATCTCAGCAGCATCAGAAAACGTGTGGCGTCAAGGCTTCAGATCCATGAGGCACTGGCCATATCTGGCAAGATAGCCCTCTTCTAGTGTTCCTAGGACTCAATCCCTGGTCACTGCATTCTTTCTATGGAGGAAAAAACCCAGCTGCCAATAAGGAGGCTACAGTTTTGCAATGTAATTAACTGCCTAAACGCGGGCGTGACCATCTCAACAGGGGTCTGGGAAATTGTCTGACTCGGAAGTTGGTACATTTTTTCTCTAAAACTGTACTATAACGGTAACCTCTAGCCACATGTGGCTATTTGAATTTAAGCTAATCAAAAGTCAATAAAATGAAACAGCCCCTCAATTGCACTAGCCACCTTTCAAGTAGTCAACAGCCACATGTGGCTAATGTCTACCATACTGCACAGTGCAGACAGAGAACTTCTCCAACCCTACAGGGAGCCAGTGTACAGCACTGCTCAGAGATAACTCAGCGTTGCCAAAATACCTCTCCACACCCTACTGGGTGAAGCAGAGTTCCAGTGGGCCCTCAGTAAGTTTTCTGAATTAATTTCGAATTAGTACATAGGAACTATTCTGATGCTGGCTCAAATAAAGACATAAACAGAAGTATGTACATCATCACTCAACAAGAAGCTTGGCTGGTCACCTAGGACCTTCAATAGACCTGTGGACGTTAAGTATATGACATCAAAGGTCTTTAATAATCACATAAAGAATGTGTGCAAAGAAACATACTAAAAAAGATGAAAGGGTACAAAGAAAAATTTCCCTCCCTTATTTGATCCTCAGCCACCTAGCTCCCCTCCTCAAGGCGACCAGCATTTTAATTTTTTTTCATATCTTTTGAGATATCTTATGCTTGTGGCAGCCAGAGTAACAAAACCTGCAATATGATAACTTAATTTGCAAAAAGGTCTCTGCAGATGAGATTGTGGACAGGATCTTGAGATGGGAGAATTAGCTGGGTAGATCCAACATAATCACAAGGGGAAGCAGAGGATTAGACAGAAGAAGAGAGATGATAATAGAAGCAGAGGTTAAAGTGACACAAGGCCATGAGCCAAGGAATATCGGCAGCCTCTAGAAGCTGGAGAAGGCAAAGAAACAGACCCTCCCCACCACCTGCCTCCAAAGGAACACAGATCTGCTGGCCCATTTTGGATTCTGACCTCCGCAACTATAAGATAAGTGTTATTTTAAGCCACAAATTACTTATGGTAATTTGTTACAGCACCAATAAGAAAGTAACACATGCATATGAAGGCAAAGGTATATATTTTCCCTGAAAGCACAGTCATTTTTATCAGTGGCAGACTGCAATCTTAAGACTGCCTAATCACCTCCTCTCCGTCCTGAAAGATACTGACAGATTCAAGAAAAGGATTTTGTACATAGAATTCAAACTCCACTTATCTAATATCTGGATGATTAAGCAAACAAAAAACAATGAAGGTTCTAAAATTTATTTTTTATTTTTTTAAGATTTTTAATTGATTTTTCTAGAATAAGAGGAAGTAAGGAGAGAAACATCAATGTGAGAGCGAAACATCAATAGGCTGCCTCTTGCATGCCCCCTACTGAGGATAGAGTCGGCAACCTTTCGGCCCAATCCTCACCAACAGACAATACCCAATCAACTGAGTCCTACTGGCCAGGGAGAGAAATTTAGTTTTTAACTATTATTGTCCCAATCTTAAAGGCAGCAAAGGATGGTAGAAGGAACTGTCCCAGAGTTCATGAGACCTGGGCCTTGACTAGCTCTGTAACCTTGAATATGTCATTTAGTCTCTTAGAGCCTCAGTCTCTCTAAACATGGCACAGTGGCAGGATGGGGAGAGAAGGGGGGGAGGACAGTAAGCTAGGTATGTGCTTAGGTTTTCATGTTTTTAATCTTTGAGTATGTTAATCAATGACACATATTTGGCCCAAATCTAATATTTGCTATGGCCCTCCCAACCAAAAATGATTGCTAAATAGTATTAAAAAAAAAACAACAACCAGAAAATGCTTATTGTGCTTAGCAGAAAATGGCACAAGGCACAATTTCAGCTGCCCATTATACTCAATGTGTTGATTATAAATCATTCTCTGTATCAGCCTACTGATACAGAGATCATATTTGGAATACCCAAAAAACTGGTAACACTGGTTGCATCTGACAGGGAGAATCACAGTCACTGAGAGACAGGAGTCAAAGGAAGATTTCTTAAAATTACTTTTTCTGGCTTTTAAATTTAAACCTTGCAAATGTATATCGATTTAAAAAGTTTAAGTATTTTTAAAAAATATATATTTTATTGACTTTTTACAGAGAGGAAGGGAGGGAGATAGAGAGCCAGAAACGTCGATGAGAGACATCGACCAGCCGCCTCCTGCACACCCCCCACTGGGGATGTGCCCGCAACCAATCTACATGGCCCTGACCGGAATCGAACCCTGGACCCTTCAGTCTGCAGACTGACGCTCTACCACTGAGCCAAACCGGCTTCGGTGAAAAGTTTAATTATTTTAAAAGAGTAGGTTCTTTTTGTTCATGGCTTCACAGTATCAAACAACTATAGCTCCTCTATCAGATGCCTCGAATTAGTCATTAAGCACTCAGCCAAAGCCTACAGAATGTCAATCTTTACTAACCACACAATATGTAAGTAGACCAGATACGTAATCCTTTCTGATTTCCAAGTGTAGGCAGTCAGTGACCTGTTGCACCCACAAAGAAGCAGGATGCACGATAAGACAGCCTACCTCACCAGGGCATCCAATGTCACATATCAACTTGCATGGTTCCAGAGCCCTTCACTGTCAGAATTACACACAAACCCAAGTAACCCTGGTGCAGAGAAGGTCAGAAGAATATTTCCTCACTGCTCCTCGCTCAAGGATACCTCAAGGGCTTTTTTATTTCTATCATTTCCTTTATTAGCCATTCTACCAGTTATCTGCCAAATTTAATAGATACATATACACAAGTCACCTCTCTTCTTTGTTTCATAAATAGTATTTTCCAGGTAGAGAGAAAGAGTCAGTGTTTTGAATACAAAGTGGTAGTGGTAAACAAAAGGACAGCCTAAAGCAGCTATCAGGACAAGCACAGTTGTGTGCTGGCCGCTGTAGGATAGGGATCTCTCTAATAATGGGGCTCCAACCACATGAGCACTATGAAGAATCATGGTCCAGCCCAAATTACCTTACAATAGTTTATTCTCGTCTTTCTAAAAATAAAATAAGCATCCAAAGGATATGGGAAGACCCCTGCAAAGGGGCACTCACACAGTGATAATAAGGCTGAGCCCTCCATTGACACAGCCAGATTCAGAAGTCTGAGAAAAGGCATGCAAAAGGTGGAACCAAAAAATTTAGGAAGAGTAGTAGGTCTTTACTATCACATACTGTATGTAGTTCCTTGGCTGTAACAGAATTTAAAAAATGAAACAGTACATGTACAAAAAGAAGTCAGAAGTTCCTAAGAACTGTCCATTTAACAACTGAAATAGAATGATAAAATGGGCCAGCAAGGGGCAGGTGCCAGCAGAAGCAAGTCTATCACAAAGGGTCTTTGCAAGTGGCTTAGCATGGACACACGGTGGTAATGCTAGCCCTGTTCCAATCACTTTCCCTGCCCACTGGAAGTCCCAGATCATACTTAGGCGCTAAGAATGCAACTGAAGGTATAGAAGGAAAAGCACAGGACTGGGAGTCGGGAAGTATGAATTCTGGTCCCAGCTCTGCAAATGAGCAAGTCCCATTATCTCTTTGAGCCAGTTTTCTCATCTGTAAAATGGGAATGATTTTATCTATGCCCTCATACAATCCTCTAGAGTATATAGGGTTCTCCATCCTTTAATTCCATATAATCTCTCAATAAAGTCATAAATATCAACACCAAAATATGAGTTTGCCTTCTAGGTTATCCTTCAAAGATGGAATATCAGGGTGATTAAGATTGTGTACAAACTCAAATGGCAGTAGCTGAGGAGACTCAACCCTCAACAGCCCTGAAAGGCCTTTTGATACCCCAAAAGATGTGACCAGACTATAAGCAGCAATCCTTCCCCACAATGCCCACTGCAGGACAGCCACAGTTACCCCATAAAGTCTTCATCTATCCTCACCCATGTCCTGCCCTCTCAGGTATACCATTTACTGGCCCTCAATTTTCTTACACCAGCCAGGGAACAGGAGACCCCGGTACCTAACTTTCAGTCCAGTTCTGTTGGGGTTTAAATTCTAATGTTTGGTCTCCTTGCCCGTCTGGAAAGCTGCTTACCTCCAGAAGCAGTTCTATCGTAAAACTCACAAGTGTGACCCACCTCCGTGCACTTTCACGGTGCCTTCTTTTTCAAGAACATCAGCAAACTAGTAGCAGCCCAGCTACAGACCCCAGCTCTGCTAACTGCTAACCAATGGTTCTCAGGGGAATCATATAAACTCTCTGGGCCTGCCTCTTCATCTATAAACCAAAAGTATTAGACTAGACAGTGTGAGCTCTTTTTTAGGTATAGCAGTCTAAGTCTATGATTCCCAAGGAGTTAGGACAAAAAACACGGCACTTAAATTTGGCCACGTGAGGCAGCACACATGCTGGTTGAGCCTATCTCTGCAGAGTTCCCAAGGCCTGGGCTTGGTGGGCAAGTTGCCCAGATTATAAGAAACATTCTAGCAACACAAACAGGATGCACATACCTTTCCCTCATCCACGAGCTTTGCAATGTCATCCAGATATAGACCACTAGGCATGAAAAAGGCCCAGCGATAATGGACTCCTTGCCAGAAATGCTAAAACGAAAAGGAAAAAAAGACATGTCAAATACAGAGAAGGATAAATTCTGACTAAATGCAAATTTAGTGAGAAGTATTTTCTGGAGGACTAGGACAGACAAACTGACTTTCCATTTCATGCTGCCACAATGAGCTGCATGCCCAGCACCTTGGCACAGTGAATGACAAGATAGTGAATGCTTCGTGAATGTTTAGGAAATAAATGAACAAAAAAAATCCCTGTGAACTCAGGTTTGTTCACCAACATGCGACTGACAAGTAAGCACAGGAAAGCTCTCCTTAAAATGACAGTCTAGATCAGTGTTTCCCAAACTTCTGACATATGTGTACCCCTTCTATTATATAATTTTCGTAATGCTGAGTACCCCTCGTACTCATGAGAATGTAGAATTAGGCGCAGCTAAGCCCGTTGCAGTGCATATCCCCACCAAACACCGGTGCAACGCGTACCCCCACCAAACTCTTCCCGTACCCCTGGAGGTACGCGTACCACACTTTGGGAAACACTGGTCTAAATGGTCTAACACACTCAATTTCTTCTCTATAGGATACCTCTAGGCCTTCTCTACTAAGGTTTGTGTTAAGGCCAAGAGTCATCAGAAAAGAGTTTTTTAACTAATTCAAGAATTCTTTGGGGATAGTAAGACATCAAAATATAATTTTAGATAAGAAATCCAATCACACTGTTTGTTTTTCCTGGCTCTGAGAGTAATAAGATAGTTTTAAAGGCAAAACAAAGTTAGGGTGCTTTTGTTGTTGTTTTTGTTGTTGTTGTTGTTGTTTTTTTACATATCATGGCTGAGTCTTCCCCTATAGTTACAGCAAGTCCACAGCCACCTAATTTTATAATGGGACAAAACATCTCCTGGTGAAGATAAACAAAAATCTTACACCAAGAGGGTTCATGATCACTCTACTGCCATACCTACTTTGAATTGTTATTATTTATTATCATTAGGCCATGATGAAAACAAGTGAGCTGAGAGTCTCCATGATACCCCATTGACCTGCCCAACTACACTAGGTCAGATGTGAGTTATCCTGAGTTATCCGCCAGGACCGTATTCCTCCCTCCCTGCACGTGCCCACAACTGCTGGGATGGCTGACTCCTCTTCCCTGGGCCCGCCCTCACGCTGCCTCAGCTTGAATCTGCTGCTACCAAGGCATGGAATTGGCAAGTATAATGGACTCTCGGCTACTCGAGCTCAGGAACTTAAGAGCTGTGCTATTTAGGTGAAGCTACTTCTTTTGGCCTGTTTCCTGGCCTGCAGAATGGTTATGCCACCACCTAGCGCACAGGGTTGTTGGAAGGATTAAATGAGAATGCATGTAAAATGCCCGATACATAAAAAGTATACAATAAATGTTTCACCTTGTGCTAAAGTAAAGCTTACTGAGAAAAGCCTGGGGCAATGTCAAATGAGAGTTAAGACTAGAAAGAAAGACAAAACTAAGCTGCTATCTAGGCAGAGCTTCACAGCAGGTGTGTCAGGAATGGCTTACGGGCTTGGTCAAGTAACCCTACAGTTTATTGTCTAACCTGGAACAACTGTGAGAGTTAAAGAAGTCACCATAAATAATTATCCCAAGACCACAAATGCAAACAGAACCGAGTTGACCCTAGAATAGGTGTAATGGACATGGACCCCCGTCAGCCCCTGGGATAGCAGGGCAGAGCCTGGGCTGCTGAGTCTCTAGTTTGCTCTTGACCCAGAGGAGCCTCAATATGCTCCTCAAATACTTTCATATTTATGTGTCAGAGCATGAAAGACGTCAGGAAACACTGGTCTAGATAACTAACTTCAAAAAAAGAAAGGCAAAAAAATACAGTTTGAAACACTGAGATTATCCCAAGCTTCCAGGGGGCCCAGTTAATTGCACTCACAGACCAACTCATGTACTTCCTACTAAGGTCTAGCCTTCCAGACTACAATGAAAACATTCTGGTAATTGTTTAGGGTTTTAAAGAAGGAATAGCAATAGTCACCACTGCCCTGTCTATAACTCTTTACAGTGCGTTGCCCTGTAAAGTGAAACTTCTGGCCTGCAACAGCAGAATTTTTACTTTTTTTCCCAGGCCATTACAGGAGTGAGTAAACCAAAGCAGGCAGGAGAGCCCAGAGCATTACAATGAGGCTTTAACGGCACATTCTCAGAAAGACATCAGAAACTACTTAAAAGGTTTTCACATGAGATTACCACTATCATCTTTCAAGCAGGGAGAAAGGGAAAATGAAGAGAGCTATGCCTGTTTTACTCTCAGAGGCCAGCTCTGAAGGTTAAATTGTAAGGGGACTCACTGGAATACAAACTATAAAACCATTTAGAAAACTTAAACTTATATTTTAAGGCTCTTGGAAAGCCTGGGCTTTGTGAAAAGGGAAAGAGAGACAAATCATAGTACGTTCCCTTTCTCTCACAGAGCACCCTGTGGACACTTTCTGGCTGTGTCTGGATCCAGTGAAAATGAAGACCCTAGAACACTTTGCTGGGTGTTCACCTCTATCACCCACACATGGTTCCTAAGAATTGAGTGCTGGTCTCTTTTATCACAGCTCTTCGCTACCACTTCTAAGTGTGTAGTTAGTACACAGAATCCGAAAGACCAAAGTCCTAAAGTTCACTCCCAGAAAGGTCCCAAATTAATTTCTAGAATAAAAAAAAGTTAAGATAATTATCAAGCCAGTCACCTCACAAATATGGGTCAGTGATGGAGAGCACAACACAGTGACCCACAACCTTCTACTGCCTTTTTCCTGGGCCTAAAGTATTGATACTTTGTCTAATTAATGAAATAGAATTTATCTTCCCTTTTTGTATCACTTATTCCACCTTATTACTAATTCAGATTTTAAGTCAACGACCTATGATTACCAACAGTGAATAGGGTGGAATTATGTAAGGCTCTGTCGTCATTGTGAGGACAACAGGCTATCACGTTAAGAACAAACACTCAAGCCATCAGTCCTGTAACCAAGGCTGCGCGTCTCCAGGCCCACCACACACTGGGTGAGTTCAGGTGGGGTCAGAGCTCCTTAAGCCCTGGTAACAGTGGCCCTGTTAACAGTCAGGCTGACTAATCAAGTGTGAGAAACTCCCAGAATGCCATCAATAGCTAGAGTCTCTGATCCGTGGGGGATGTGCAATGCTGGGACAATCAATACAAATCCAGGAAAGGCCTGATGGCTCTATGAGTCTTTGTAGTCTCACTGAAGTAAGACTACAATTTCTTTCAGGTCTTTGAAATTCAAAAATTTCCCATGGACTTCTAAAGGTCTGAAAGCCCCAACTGGAAATCACTGGCATATCCCAATCCTATAAATAAAAACAGCCAGCTGCACACTTACTAAAATTATCACCTTCCCATACAAGAGACCTTATGAGTTAAGACTGGTGAAGATAGAGAGCATCAGGTATAGGAAAGAAAAAAGCAGAAGGTATATCAGATGGTAACAATAAAGGCTAACATTTAACAGGAGCTTTTCATTGTGCCAAGTGCTTCACGTGGATTATCTCATTTAACCCTTGCAACATGAGGTAAGGCATATATCCTACTAGCCCGTGTTATAGGTGAAGACATCAAGGTCTAGTGACATTGATTTGCAAGGGGTCACACAGCTACTAAGGAGGCTGAAATTTGAACACAGTCAGGGTGCGACTCCAGAGCCCATGCTTGTCTCCAAGATGAAAGAAACTGGCTGGGTGGAAATCAATATCCAGAAGCAAGAGGCACTTGTTTGTTCTCACCAACCAGAACTTCAATCCTTACCTTTAGTGTCTTAGAGCCCATGGTGACGCCCGTCTGCAACATGCCATCTGCGATGCCCAACCGGTCCATGTTCAGGAGAAAAGGAGTCACCAAAGTCACGTATGTGGCTCCTGACCATTTCTTGAGTAAATTTAGAGCCCATGTTTCAGTGGATCCACCAACATTATCAAGGATAAAATCAAACCTGGGGAGGAAGAAGCAAATCAAAATATCCTTGTCAGTCTTTACTCAGGGCTCCAATCTCCCTGCAATCCCATTACCATTAGCCATAGGGTTTCTTTCAGTGACAGCAAAAACTAAACTGTGCTGTGCTATCCAGCCAAGGGGCGGCTGCTTTGATAAAGGAGTAAAGGGAATAGCTACTTATAGAATCTCTGGCTTTTCTCCTAGATAAGTCAAACATGACTGACTTTGTGTCATAAAATCAAATTTTCTAATACTTTAAGAATGATTTAAACTAGCGGTTGTTAATAGAGGATGATTTTAGCTCCCAGGGGACCTATTAGGCAATGCCTAGAGACATTTTTGGTTGTCACAACCCTGGAAGGTGGTGAGAAGAGGCTACTGGAATCTAGAGGCCAGGGATGATGATAAACACCCTACTGTGCACATAACAGTCCCTCACAACAAAAAATTATCCAGACCCAAAGGTCAATTGTTGAGAAACTGAGGTAGCCAAGGTTGGGAAACCTCGATTCAAGCTCTATAGAAAACTGCAAAGCTATCCATGCGATAAAAGTAAAAGTATTCTTTAGTGCACAGAAGTACTGGAATGACAAATATGTAAGGTTTTCACCTACAAAAACAATTTGCTTTTAATCCCTCTGGAGTTATTGTAGAACTGATTATAGGAGCATCCTCTTTCCCTGGAATGTTCTACTTTTTTGTTGTTGTTTCAGGCATAGCATTGGGACAATGTATAAAGAAATCAACAGCCTGCTCTCAGTCTTCAATTCTGCTCTAACATGCCCAGAAAATCCAGTCATGATGGAATCCACAAGAACTAACAGATATTCAACTCTTTACGTCTAATCTAAAGCTGCTACTATATAATCACTACATTCTCCTTAATGGGGATAAAACCCAATGAAGCTTTTAAATATTTGTTAAAACAGCCGAGACCGGTTTGGCTCAGTGGATAGAGCGTCGGCTTGGGGACTGAAGGGACCCGGGTTCGATTCTGGTCAAAGGCATGTACCTTGATTGCAGGCATATCCCCAGTAGGGGGTGTGCAAGAGGCAGCTGATCGATGACTCTCTCTCATCGATGTTTCTAGCTTTCTATCTCTCTCCATTCCTCTCTGTACAAAATCAATAAAATATATTAAAATAAATAAATAAATAAATAAAAATAAATATTTGTTAAAACAAAGATCTATTTAGAGAATGTATCCTTATATATTAAGTAAATTGATAAATTTCTTTTTAATAAATTCATCTGAATGAAATCAAGCAACAGAGCTATGAAAACCAGCTTCGATCAACTTTGTAGATCTTAAGTTTTTTATGGGACTACACTAAAGAAGGGCAAATAAAAATGGAAGGCTATCTGTGCAAGATAATAACCTTACTAGAAGAGTATTCTTTTCATTAAAAAGAATAAAAATTGTGAATTTAAATTTCTAAAGTTTCTGCTTTTAATTTTCTACTTCCTTTCCAAATTTTAAATAAACAAAAATGATACTTATTTTAAATAAAACTTAAGGGCAGCCTGATATCATAGAACAGGCACCACCTGCAAAAGAAGTCCTGAGGCCAGGTTGTAGATGCAGTTCTCCCACCCATGACTAAGTGGTATGACCTTGAGCATTCAAAACTCATATACCCTCTACCCGATTTTCTAAACCATAACATGATAGAATTGGACTGAAGAATTTTGGAGCCCTTTCTTGCTATAAACTCTAAGATTGAAATCTAAAAAGCTGTGATTTAGAAGGAGGAACAAATTTATTCTAGGTAGATTCAGAGGCCAAATTTCAGGTATCTACACTAATAAAAGAGAAACATGCAAATTAACCATCACTCCACTACGCCACAAGCCACACCCACCAGCCAATCAGGAGCAAGTATGCAAATTAACCCAACCAAGATGGTTGCCGTCCACGAAGCTGGAGCAAGCAGGAGGCTTGGGTTGCACTGGTGATGGAGGAAGCCAAGTTTCCCAACCACTCTGGCCAGTGCTGGCCTTCGCTCAAGGCTACAAAGCTTCAATTATATTATAGAAGATAAATAAATCCAACAAAAAATGGTGATGGCCATGGAGCTGGATTTGCCCCTGGCGATGGAGGAAGCCAAGCTTCTGGCTCTCCCTGGCTGGCCCTGGCCTCTGCTCAAGGCTACAAAGTTTCAATTATGAAAGATAAATCTTAGATACTTGCTTCCAGCCAGTTCTGACCTCCGCTCAAGGAGGGGCTGAAAAAAAAAAAAAAGGAGGGGCTCGGACCTTGGGTCGCTGGGGGGTGATCAGGCCAGGATGGGATGGCAGGGTGTAAGCAGACCGGCAGGGGGACCAGTTGGAGGTGATCAGGACAGCAGGGGGGAGGAGGGACAGTGTGGAGTGAGCAAGCCAGCAGGCGGGCAGTTGGAGGTGAGCAGGCTGGCACGTGAGGCAGTTTGGGGTGATTAGGCTGGCAGGGGGGGCATTTGGGGGTGATCAGGCCGGTAGGCAGAGTGGTTAGGGACAATTAGGCAGGCAGGCAGGCAGGTGAGCAGCTGGAGCCAGCAGTTCTGGATTGTGAAAGGGATGTCTGTCTGCCAGTTTAGACATCCTTCAAGGGGTCCCAGATTGGAGAGGGTGCAGGCCAGGTTGAGGAACACCCCCTAACCAGTGCACTAATTTCATGCACTGGGCCACTAGTAAGTTATAAGTATAAATTTTAACTAAAGCTGTCAAAAAAAAAGTAATGGTCTACATTTGTAAGCTGATGAGATACCCCACTGGAAGGGAGTATGCAAAGGTTTAAGACCACTCATGAGTGATATGGATGAGCAAACTGTAGCACAGCTGTGGGTGCTGGTGTGGGTGTGCTATAGCCTTTCATTCATCAGTTCCCTATTCTCTGGTGACATACTCCAGACATGTTTAAAGATAAGGTAGATAGAGGGCAATGGGTTGGCCTTGGCCTCATTCTTATACTGCTATTCCTAGAGGCAGCAGAAAGTATAGATCAGTGGAACTACCACTACCTAACACTGTTTGGCAAGAGTGGAGGCTCCATACAGTTGAAGGAATAAGCAGTCAGTTCCTGGGTGCACTGCCATACTGCTGTTGGGAGTTGGGAAAAGGCTGGGCAGTCAGACAGGGGCTCCTTTTTTTTTTTTTTTAAAGCCATGAAAATATATTTCTACACAAAGTGGACAAGAATAACTGGCTTCTGAAAAGTAATCGAAAAAGGAAACACCTTTGAAAAAGAAGCAATAAGCCCTGGCCCATGTGGCTCAGTTGGCAGGACATCAGCCCATGCACTATACACTGAAAGATGGCCAGTTTGATTCTCAGTAAAGAAAAAGAAGCAGTAAAGTAGATTTCCAATCACTTCTAGGTTATGCTCTCAGCATATCTTGGCCAGATGAAGACCAGATTAGTAAGCACCCACAGTCAAGATGAACAGGACCTGGGAGGCTGAATCTGCTTCTGTTTGTACATTAAGCCAAACCACAGCCTGGCATTCAAAGGCACCGAGAACATTCACAGTGCTCTCATCATCAATATTTATGCTGCCTTTGTTTCTGTGAAGCCCTTATTAAGCCAAAAATGTGTTTAGTGCTAAGCATAAATTTTCATGCACTGCTCTAAGTTCTTCCTATGGTGACAGATGCCATCAAAAGGAACACACTTACAATTTTGCCTTCAGACCTGTTACAAGCCAGTAATGAAAGTTAACTGAAAAGACCCTGTAAGCAAAATATCTTCCTCAATACCTATCTCATTGTGTTACTGTGCTATGTTAACATCTGGAATTAAAGCAGAAACCAACCTATTATAAATGATTTCTACTGGCATTGAATATTTTCATAAATCCCTCTCTAAGATTCCCAACATGATCACCAAACCATCTCAGGCTTTCATTATCAACTGTGAACATTGTTCTAATACATACGGTTTTAAAGATTTCAATTGTTCCTCCACATTTCCAGATTTGTAATCAATTACATCATCTGCCCCAAGTTTCTTTACAAGTCCACTGGCATCCTGAGAGCAAACTGCTGTCACGTGAGCATCCCATGCTTTCATTACCTGCCAAATAAGGAGGGGGGGAGGGAGAAAGTAAAAAACATTTTTTAAAATAGCTGGCACCACGTGTACATATATCAGCCTGATCTCTAGAGAACTCTAAGTGCTTCGTCTTAATGAGCACTACAGGAAGCCATCTGTCAGAAACTAGGAAAAATGATTCAACTTTTATTCTCTCAGAAAATTCCAAGAAGTAGATCTCATTTCCCTGGATGAGACAGCCAGTCTCCAGTCTCCATAGTTATAACCAATCGAATCAGAGAAGGGCTCAATGCTTCACCAGTATCAGAAAAGAGAGGAGAGCTATAGACTTCTAAGTACTAAAGGAGTCTATAGTACTTTTAAGGTTGACAAAAGTAAATGCAAATATATATATATATATATATATATATATATATATATATATATATATACACACACACACACACACACACACACACACACACACACACCCTAATATGCAAACAGACCAGAGGAACAACCTATCACCATGATGTGCACTGACCACCAGGGGCCCCTCACAGAACATGGCGGGCATTGGCCGTGGTGAGATGGTGGAGCAGGTGAGCTAGGGGGTTGAGAGTGGGGGAGGGCATCAGACCAAGGTGGTTACTGAAAATTCTTTGCTCTGGTGGTTACTGAAAATTCTTTGCTCCTGAGCACAGTGGTCCCACTTGGTGCTCACACTCACTGCGAGTGCCTAGTGCTGATCCCGATCACTCGGCACCATCAGCGGATGGGAGCAGTGGCTGCCGGCCCCAATCACCCCTTAGCACTTCTCTACTTCCCCCTGCTTCTGAGGGGTGATCAGGACTGGCAGCCACCACTCACACCTGCTGCTGGCGACAGCCCTGCTCACACCTATTGCTGGTGCCAGAGCCCCTGCTTGGACCCACTGCCAGCGCCCAGTGCCAGTACCGATCGCTCAGAGTCAGCAACGAGTGTGAGCGGCGGATGCCAGCCCTGACCATCCAGACGGCTTATCCACCTCCCCTGGCTCCTGAGGGGCAATGGGGGCAGCAGCCTTCATTCGCACCTGCTGCTGGTGCCAGCCCCAATCGTTCCACACTGTCAGTGGGTGCGAACAGGCTGGCAACATCAGTGTGTGGGAGTGGTGGTGGTGGTGGGAGCAGGGCTGCAAGCAGACGGGACCAGGGGCTGTGGCTGGTGGGGCCCAGGGGGGGCACGGATGATGGGCCGAGACCCACCACTGTGCCCACCACAGCCTCGCAGCCCACAGTTCCTTTCAATGTGCACAAATTCATGCACTGGGCCCCTAGTAAATATATAAATAAAAACATGCTCAGAAAATGACAATTTTAAATATATTCAGAACATAAAAATGCAACATTTCTTCATCTGTATCTTTAATACAGTCTTAAGTAAGGCAGCTGTATCAAAGCAATTAGCTCGCCCTCGCTGGTTTGGCTCAATTGATAGAGAATCAACCTACAGATTGAAGGGTTCCAGGTTCAATTCTGGTCAAAAGCACATGTTTGTATTAGGCGGGATCCCCAGTAGGGGGTGTGCAGGAGACAGCCAATCAATGATTCTCTCTCAACATTGATGTTTCAATCTCTCTCTCCCTCTCCTTTCCTTTCTGAAATCAATAAAAATATACTTTTTTTAAAAAAGGCAAATAGCTCCAAAAATAGTTCCAATACTAGGTAATAAATGATTAGATACTTTTTAAAAGAAGTGAGGAAAATAAAATCACTTTATTTTTAAACATGATTACCTTGGAAGAAAAAGACCTAAATATATAGTTCTCCAGATATAAAATGTGGATGCCTGATATTTTTAAAATAATAAGGAATGTCCTGGTTGGTGTAACTCAATTGATTGAACCTCATCCCAAGCACATAAAGGTTTCCAGTTCAATTCCCCATCAGAGCACATGCCTGTTTTGTGGGCTCAATCCCTGGTAGAGGGTGTGCAGAAAGCAGCCAATTGATTTTCTCAATGAAACACTCACATCAAAGTTTCTCTCTCTCTCTCTCTCTCTCTCTCTCTCTCTCTCTCTCTCTCTCTCTCTCTCTCTCTCTCCCTTCCCTAGAAAAATCAATACAAATCTTACACACACAAAAATAAGGGACTTAAAAACCATATATAATCTTACCTAATTTCTCACTTTTAAAAGCAATATTGACCAAGGGTTTATATGCCCTGAAAATAGGAGGGGAATTAAAACATTTAGGAGTGACATCATGTAAAATGTATGATGTTTATAGGCTGCAAACAGAGACACTTGAGTACAATGACATGTTGCTTTCAATAGCAAGTCCCAATCTATATTCAATTATGTGAAGAATATAACCCGAGATAAATATCCAGTACCTATATTAAAAAGAGACTGTGGAGAAAAAAAGGAAATTATGTTTTAAGCACTACATTTAATGGTTTCTTTAAACAGTATTAAATCCTCAGGAAGAATTTATCACATGTTGAAACAGTTCAATTAATTTTTTCCAAATTTCTAGTTTTTTCTCTCCCACTTAGAACTACCTAGTATCTTTAAACACCACTAATAGATTTTAAAAACAGCTTTACCTTTAAAAAAATTTTGTACAAGCACAAGTATATAAAAAAAAAAAATGCGTACATGGCAGACACAATGCAGAAACAGAAAACAGCAGCCATTCCAAAAGCTTTTCTATGTGCCCCACCCCAACACAACTCCCTCCCTGGAAGGCATCATTATCCTGATGTTTATAGCAATCCCCTCCCTGCATTTAAAAATATTGTTTTAGCACCCAGATAAGCATTCCCTAGACACTAGAGTTTAGTCTTGTGTATTTTTAAAATTCAATGTCTTCTAAGCCTCTTTTTAAACTATAGGTTCCTCTTCTATCCCTTCACTTTGTAATAATTTATCAGTGAAAAAATCCAGGCCATTGACCGGACCTGCAGTTTCCCGGTGAGGAATTTCTAATTGCACACTCAGGACTCAGTTCTGCATGCTTCTCTGTGCTCTGTGTCTCCTGTTTCAATCCCTCTAGCAAGACTATGGACAGTGTCTGGCAAAATGAGAGCAGGCACATCATGTTTGCTTGTTGTTCTTCTTATCTTAGCAGCTGTCTACTGGTGATTGCAAAGTAATATTTTTTTTTTAATTTAGTAGTTGGAATACTTTTATGAAGAAACATGCTTTGTCTATTCAGATAAAGTTCATACAGTAAAGGCAAGACACATAATTGTTTACCTTTTTCAGTTTTTAAATAAGTTGGTCCTCTTCCAAAACTAAGAATGTTTAAAAAATATATCATCATGAATTCATGGATTGAAATATGTTTGAAGCATTTTGATCCATAATAATTACTATTATTACTGAAACTCAAAGTGTCACATCTTTGGGAGTTCCTTCAAGTTAATAGTTTCCTCATTATTTAATATATTCCAGGCTCATTTTGTGCCCCAGATCTGGAATCTGCCATTTCTCCAAAAAGCCCTGCTTTCTTTTAAGGAGCAAAGATATTTCACGAGACAGCTTTGCATACACCAGTATACAAAATATGTTGAGTTCATATTGATCCTTCCTATTCAAATTCAAGACTACAAAGCTTTCCAACATTTTTTATACAAGACATCCACAAAGTAACTTATATATTAAACCACTGGAAAGATTAACACTTCCTTCTACATTAGAAAATTTCCTTATTTGAAGGGCAAGCTGAAATTACAGTGAATTTACTGAACCTACCTTTCCCTCAGGCTTTTAAGAAAAAGCAATTTATGTGAATTTAGAAATTCATGAAATAATAATCTTTCTATTGATAAGATAAAAAGTTATCTTACATTTTTAAAAGAAATGAAAGGAGACACAAAGAAATGGAGAGAGATTCCGTGCTCATGCATTAGGATCAATATTGTTAAAATGTCCATATTACCTCAAGTAATCTATGGATTCAATATAATTCTTATCAAAATTCCAATGGCATTTTTCACAGAAATAGAGCAAAAAAACCTTAAAATTTGTAAGGAACCACAAAAGACCCCTAGTAACCAAAGCAATATTGAGAAAAAAGAACAAAGCTAGAGGTATCATACTCCTCAATTTCAAACATCAAAGCAACAGTAATAATAATAATAATAATAATAATAATAATAATAAAAAAACCAGCATGGTACTGACCGAAAAACAAACAGTACAATGGAATAGAACTGAGAGTCTAAAAATAAACCCACACATATATAGACAACTAATTTACAACAAAGGAGCCAAGAATATACAATAGAAAAGAAAAGTCCCTTCAATAAATGGTGTTGGGAAAACTGGACAACCACATTCAAACGAATAAACTAGACTACTATCTTATACCATACACAAAAATTAATTCAAAATGGAGTAAAGACTTGAAAGATTTGAAACCATAAAATACATAGAAGAAATCGTAGACATTAAGCCTCTGGACATTGGTTTTAGTGATGATTTTGTGGATTTGACTTGAATAGCAAGGGAAACAAAACAAAAGTAAACAAATGGGACTATATAAAAAATATAAAGCTCCTGCACAGTAATGGAAATTATCAACAACAAAAAGGCAAGCAACTGAATAGGAGAAATATTTGCAAATGGTATATCTAATAATAAGGTAATATCCAAAATATTATATATAAAGAACTCATATAATTCAACAATCAAAATAAGAAACGCAAACAATCAAAATAAGAAACGCAAACAACCAACTAAAAACTACATATATAATAGAATACTACTCAGCCATAAAAAAAGACAGTATTGCTATTTGTAATAACATAAATGGATCTTGAGGATATTATGCTAAGTGAAATAAATCAGACATAAAAAGAACAAAAACTGTATTATTTCATTCACATGTGAAATATACAACCAAAAAGAAACAAACAAAACAAAAACTAGGCACAATACAATAGTGGTTACCAGAGGGGAAGAGGTGAGGGGAGGCCAAATGGTTAAAAGGGGCTAAATATATGGTGATGGATGGAATCTAAACTTTTAGTGGTGGTGAGCACTCTACAGTGTATATAGTATATACTGAAATATAATGTTGTACACCTAAAACTTAGTGTTATTAACTAACTAGGGCAGTGCATGAAATTCATGCTGGGGGGGTGTTTAGTCTCCTCAGCCCAGCCTGCACCCTCTCACAATCCAGGACCACGCTCCTAACTGCTCACCTGCCTGCCTGTCTGATCGCCCCTAGCTACCCCACCCCTGCTAGCCTGGTCACCCCCAACTTCCCCGCTGCCGGCCTAGTTGCCCCCAACTGCCCCCCCCAGCCCTGCTGGCCTGGTCACCCCTCAATGCCCCCTCTGCTGGCTGGTTTCCCTCAACTGCCCCCCTTGCAGGCTTGGTCACCCCATGCAGCCTGCTGTTCGGTCATTTGGTCGCCCCTCACTAACCTCCTGCTGACCTGGTCACTCCACGTAGCTTACTGTTTGGTCATTTGGTTACCCCTCACTGACCCCCCTGCTGGCCTGGTTGCCCCATGCAGCCTGTTTGGTTGTCTGGATGTGATGTTCTCTTAAGCTTTTATATATATATAGATGTTATCTAAAATAAACAAATTAAAAAAAAAAAAAAAAAAAACCCTAGCAGGCTTAAATAGTTAATGTTTGTAAAGTGCTAGCATACTATAGTTGGCTCAAAATAAGTCTTAAACTATCATCACCTCCATCATCATCAATCAGTCTTATTATTTCTCTTGTTAATGTATTAATTCTACAACAACAACAACAACAAAAAACCCTAGAGCAGCACATATAAATTCTTTTCAAAATTAAAAGAAAAAAATTGTTTACCTGTATAGCAAAAGTACCAACTCCGCCTGAAGCACCCAATATTAAAACACTGCAATGCAAAAGAAACTACAATTAATGAGAACATTAAGTCAATAAAACTGGGTAAATAAACAAGATGTTTTCACCATGCAACTGGCTTAAAGATAAACAATCCCAAAAACAAATAAAGTCATTCAGCTTCCCAAGATTCTATGACATAAGGATTTTTATTTTAAATTCACCAGTAAGCTATAAGTACTTCAAGATTCTATAAACTCTTTACCAAAAATAGCAAAACTACCAATAATTTGTCTTTTTTAAAGAAGCTCAGATGGTTCTTGGAACATCTGACAATTTTTCTAAGTTAAAATCACCATGGCTTTCTCTGTAAGAGAAGGAGCTCTGGGATCCTTTTTAGCGTGTTAGATTCAGTTGCTCTCTAAGAAAAATCACATTCCTGACCACATTCCAGCCAAAGTGGAATAAACATCTTTTGTTCACACATGTCCCGTCAAGCTCATGGACTTTCATAAATGGAAATCTCAGCCTCAATTTGGCTTCCTGTTAAAGCAGATGAATCTGTCCTATCAGCACAAACATTCTTTGCTCCAGTTTTTGCCATGTTTGATTACTGTAGCCCACATGCAACTCTAGACCAAGGGTGTACATCAGGAAGATTATGAATGAGTGAGAGTGGGAGGGGTAAGGGTGTGAACCCTCTGAAATTGTGAATAGACTAAAATAATGAACAAAATTTGGTATGATTATGCGTATGTGCACTGGGGAGGAGAGGTACCCAGACCTACTATCAATTTCCCAAAGAAATGGACCCACTATTCAAGAATCACTGCTTTCCATACTCTTACTAAATTTTATTCTTAAGCCAGAGCACCAGTGCACTACCTTCGTTAGACTGCAGTTTCAGGTCCCCAGACAATTGTTTGTACTGAACTGCACTTTGATGTTATGCTACCAATATAGGCTGAGGGACATTATAGTGACAGTTGACTTTTAATACTTTAGCTAAGGAGATACTGTTGAGAAAATTCTTCACATGAATTCTCTTTAAGAGTGCCTATAGGAAAACTTTTTTGCAGATTAAGTGGTGGAAGTAGCTGTGCTTCTATTTGTCATGACACATTGTGTAACTGCTAGTTGTGGGTCCCTCTTTGCCTTGGCTGCTGGGAAGTATGGAGAATTTTGCCACCGGTCTCTAGAAAGTACACCGTATTCTGTCTACAATCTTAGCCCTAGTTTCATTTTAGATTTTTCTCTCTTACCCAAATTACAGAAGGCTGGTTGTCACTCTTTTAGACCAAGCAGTCAAACTCAAAGGCTAACATGGGCCAAATAAACAAGGTTTAGTTTATATGGGCAGTAAAAAACAAAAGCTTCCATTTTCATAGAAACGATGATTTATTTACATAGAGACATGCTAAATACAAAGGGCTGAAATATATGAGTAAATTTTAACATAAAATAATAGAACATTTTAATAAAAATTAATATTTTCTCTTGAACATTAACTTACCAGACACTGAATAACTGCACAAATTAATAAGAGTAACACAAACAAACCTATTTTTCTTATTCTCCGAAAGGAAAATACTTCCTGTTCCGCACAGCAAATAAGTCAGTATAAGACTAATGATGCTGCTAAAATATTTGCTGCTAGTATTAATGGAGAGAAATGGTGTGCCTGCGAGTAAGGCACTTAAGGGTAATCATTCACGATTACCTGCTTATTGTGGCCCATTCTATGAAAAGTCAAACTCTCATTTAAGTTCTTCACAATCTAATCTTCATCTGAATTCTGACCCCTCTCACTAATTCTCACAAAACTCCCAGCAACATGATTATAGTAATCAGTCATTGGCGAACATTGTAGTTCGTTATTAATAATTATGTATAACAGTATATTGTAAAATTAAATTACAAAATTTTTATTAAAACGTTTCTTAGATACCATTATATTGGCTGGGCAGAAAAATATTTGTTGTAGGCTGCATGCGGCCCGAGGGCCGAGAGTTTGACATGCTGGCTTTAGATCTTAAAAGTTATTAGTAAAATTTCTGAGTCAGCTGTTCCCTTTAATATTAATACCATTAAATGTAATTTTAAAAGTCTCCTTGTACATTTATTTCTCACAGAAGAATTACATTGAAATTCACTAAATTATAAATTATAAATAGAAGAAACTTTAAAGATCAATTACTCTAAAATCCTTCAGTTCACATATTTAATCGCGTTAGTACTTAAATGAAGGGAAAAAGCATTAAACTGCCTCACTGATACATCCAAAGATTAATTCAGTCACAATTACCCTCTTATTGTGGCCCATTCTTACAGAAAGGCAATTAGTCAAACTCTCATTTAAGTTTTTCACAATCTAATCTTCATCTGAATTCTGACCCCTCTCACTATTTCCTGAACAGAACTCTCAGCCACCCTGAGTCCCTCATTTCTTACCTCAAGTCCCATGTACATAAGCTCATTCCTCAGGCTCTCAAATGCCTTCACTATCTGCTAAGGTCTCTCCTTCCTCTGAAGGCTCAAGTCCAAGTTTTCCTGCACAATACTCCTGAGATAGCCCCACACCTGATACCCTGCCTTTGGCACATTGTTCATTTTCATTCATTCACTTGTTTCCCAAGCTATTCTGCAAAGTTTTGAGGACAGATCTCACATTATGCCCAAGCACTGGGCATACCACCCTAGATGTAGCAGACACAGTGGGGGTATTGCTGAGTAAAAAAGAAAAAAGAAAAAACTCATGGACAACAGTGTGGGTGATTGCAGGGTGGAGAGAGTAGAGGGAGGTGGGAGAGGGGATAAATGGTGATGGACAGAGACTTGACTTTGGGTGGTGAACACAACTACAGTGTACAGGGGGGAAAATTCTAAATTAGCATTTTATCCTATAATTAAGGCAACAATTGCTATTGCCCAAATGAATAAATCACCTGGCTATTTGAAAGACTGCATTAAAGTTTATTCCAGTACAGAAACGGACTTTCAATAATTTTTAATTCTCTGAGAATGCTGGATTTAAGAGGATGCCAAATATAATGGTTGCTTGAGGATCCAACTGCCACATAGGTCTCTGACCTCATTATTGTCAGTTCATTGCTTCCCTCTAATTCTTGATCCAAAGCAGTATCATTCCTCCAAATTAAAATGCAAAAATGTGTTTCTCAGCAATGCCTTGGCAGCAGAGGGAGAGCTGCAATAGCAGCTTCAGTTCTGGATATTGCCACTTGATGGCGCCTCAGTGCAAAACAGGAAAGGAGCAAGCCCACTGAAGTCTGCATACCACTGGTCGGCTTGCAAAGAAGCCCTGGGGACATAGTATTCGCTGGTCCTGCAAACTCCATGTTCTGTGCAGGTTCAACCACGGCCCGTACTTGGCTTCAAACAAAGAAAGTCCCACAAAGGGACTGCAGGCAAAATACATTGCCAAGCCAGCACTAAGTCCGTTGATTCTCTACAGTGTAAAGTCCTGTGGCTAAACTAACTATTCTTGTTGTACTCTTCAAAGCACTTTCACTACAAAGGGAAAGCTCTGCTGTGCTTCCCACAGCTGCCCTTCACTTACGTGCTATACTTGGAATACTTTCTACCCAGTAGCTACAATATATACTCAAATATATACTCAAACCTCATTAAGTAGAAGCCTGTTAGAGTACAGAAAGGCATGCTATCAATATATTGCTTAGTGGTTTATACAGAGCAAGTGCCAGAAAATACTCTAGTTACAAAAAGCACTATAATTCAAAATTGCCAAGATTTTCTCTCACATTTCCTAAGTCCACATACAGATCTTCTTTTGAAGTCAGTGAGAATTACACTGTGGCAGACTTATTAAATATGGACAAAAGTATGAATAATTATTAAATTGCTTATGTATTCTTAAATCCTAAAATCTAATTTTATGTCATTTCTGCCCAACTTCTGAATTCTTCCTAAAATACATTAAGATGCTAACGCACTACTGGCTTTTTTTTTTTTTTCTGACTAACTTTTTACTTAGCATTTTGGCACCTATGTCTTCTATAATCACGTTTTTCAATATTATATGAGGCAAGGGTATCAACACCCTAATTGTCTTACAAATAAAAAAATACATGAAATGTACTACAAAATAGCAAGAGATCCAGAAGTAGGGAATCATCTTTCAAACTTGTATATTCTGGGTTAGCCCCAGAAATCTCTGAATGCCAGGGCTGGCACCTAGAAACCTGGGATCCAGTCCCAACACTCCCACTGACTATCTAGGCCTCAGATTCCCTACCTGTGAAATGATGATCATGAAGGTATACAATAGGAGTCAAGGAAAAAGAATTAGCTTTTTCAATCTAATTTAAGCTTATTTTAGTTTCTCTGCCTTTTAAACACAGAAGAAAATGACCTGCACAATTCCCCTCAGACCCTTGGGGGAAGGAAACAGCCACATCATAAGAGCAGAATGCCCTTTATTAAGTCCTAATAGCTCAGAAACAAAGATGATTTAAATATGGCTAAATCTTCCATCAGTAGAAACAACTGGTCTTTCAAAAATAAGGATGATGCTCTGGTTTGGCTACGTTGAAAGGGTCCCGGGTTTGATTCTGGCCAAGGGTATGTACCTTGGTTGCAGGCTGGATCCCCAGCCCTGGTTGGAAATTGTACAAAGGCAACCAATCCATGTGTCTCTCTCACAGACATTTCTCTCTCTGTCTCTCTCTCTCCTTACCAATCTCTCAAAAAATCAGTAGATAAATATCTTCAGATGAAGATTAAAAAAAAAAAAGGATGACACTGAAAATGTATCATTTCATTTTCAGACACTGCTTTTTAATCTGGGCAGGGGGCGGAGCAGAGAGGACGAGTGAAAGATAGCAAAGTATATCATAATATGCTAAGTTAATTCCCTGAAGTGAGTGAGAAAACCGATCTGAATAAGTGGAATATAGCTACAAAACAAATCAACCAAACATGACTGAAACAGCCTGGACTTGTGTCCTTCTTTTATGCATCAGTAATTCATGTAGACACATTCCCCAAGTTATAGAAGAGTTCATGTGTGAATTA